CACCCCAGGGTCCCCCGTCATACTGAGGGTTGGAGCTGCACAGCCTGGTCAGGGTTCACAGGCACGCTCTGGGTCTGTGGGTGCGCCCACCACCCTGGTCCCTTTGCCCAGAGCTGCTGATTCTGGGGGATGTGAGTTTTCATCAAGGCGGGAACACTCCCTGGGCACAAGGTCATGGACCCCACCGTCCCACCCTTCCCCACCCTCTCTAGGACACCAACCGTAATCTCTTCAAGGAGCTAGCCCACCCCACCCCACCCCAAGTAGGAACATCCCCTCAGGCAGTCAACAGAAAGTGGCCAGCCATTTGTGGGTGGAAAGCTTGGAGACTAAACCCAACTCAACCCATGTAGTTTCTTTCCACCCCAGGCTATGAGTTACCGGAAGTCAAAATCTTGACAAGTAACTGCCAAGACTTAGTCCCATATCATAGCCAGTAGCCATATCTGGCTATGAACATTGAACTTAATCCAAAGGACATACAGAGATTCACTTCCTTGGTCAAGAAGGCACACACTTGAACATGCTCAAGAGCCCCAGGAGACCGTGGCTGCCATATCAGACAGGCTGCGGGAGAACCTTTCCATCCCTGTAGACGCCTCTGGGCTAGATTGAGCCATGTGTAACTTTCCATAAACAGTTGACATAGGCTTATTTCCTTCCTCCACTGGGCCTGAGGGATTCAGCAAGTCCACACAGTGGGAAGTGGTGACTCCAGTAAGCTTGCCCACCCAGCCCGCCCGAGGCTGGTTTGTACTAAGTATTTAGGGGCAGGGAGCTTCACCATTTACCCTTTCAGTGTGGCCAGAAGCACCTACTGGGCCAGAGAAGTCCAGTTTCTGCTGCAGGACTATCTCCTGGAGAGGAGGCTTAGGCCTACATGAGCAAGAGCATAAAGCCTCTTTTTAGCTAGGGCTCCATTTGCCCCGGGGAAGCACCACGGTGGCGTGTGGGAAGAGTCAGGGCGGGTCTGCTGTGTGTGCGCAGTTGGCAGCGAGAAGGCCAGCTGGCAAAGGGCAAGGCTGCCCCAGGGAAGCAGGGAGCCCACGAGGAGATGGCAGACAGATGAGATTGGGTAGACTGGAAAAGCTCCCTCATTCCTTGTCTTCTTTTCCGTATAAACAAATGCCGCGAGGCAGCAGAGATCCGGACCACCTCTGGTCTGCACCTCTCTCTCTACCATGCCTGTAGAGCAGACCCTGTGTAGGCACGATACTCTTCCTGTAGCTCTCTGTCTAGGGGCACTCTCAATACGGGCTCACTTAACTCGCCCTGTCTCTCTCTGGAGCAGCCCTGCTCCAGATGCATAGTTACGCATTGCCCTGCTAATCAGAGGTCAGCAGTTCAAAACCACCAAACTGCTTTGAGGGAGAAAGAAGAGGCTTTCTCATCTCCTCAAGAGTTACAGTCTCAAAAACCCCACAGGGCCAGTTCTGTCCTGCCCTGTGAGGTCGCTCTGGCTGGGAACCGACTTGACGGCAGTGAATTTGCGTGTCAGTCCAGGTAGACTAGACAAGGATTCATAGACACGCATGTGTGTGAGAGAGAACCTTATATCAAAGATCAATTGTATATTGAGAAAACATTCCAGTCCAGATCAAGTCCAGAAGTCCGATATTAGCCCATATGTCTAATACTAATCTATAAAGTCCTCTTGAGACTCAGGCAACACATGCAATGACACCGAATGCAGGAAGATCGCAGGTCAGTGGGTGGAAAGTCTTATGGATCCAGTGGCAATGGAAGCATCTCGGCTCTGGCAGGGGTCCCCACACGGCTCCTCCAACTCCAGGGCTCTAGTGTAGCTTCAGGTATCTTGTCACCAGGAATACCAAGCAGCGAGTGTGTGTGTCCCACCTCCAGCAAGCCAATTATCTCCATAGTGCCTCCAAATTAGGTCATCAAGCAGCGACCCGATTGACAGGCTAAACCCCAACACTTCACTCTTAATAGTCTCAAGTTGGCAACAGATGATGTAACTACCACAGTTTGGTTTGTTTGAGGGGTTTTTTGTTTGTTTGTTTCTCTTAAAAAGCCCTGGTGGCATAGCAGGTGGCACGCTGGACTGCTAACCAAAGTGTTAACAGTTGGAAACTATCAGCTGCTCCCCAGAAGAGAGGCATCTTTCTGCTCCCGTAAAGACTTACAGCTCCAGAAGCCCACGGGGGCTGTCTTGCAGTGTCACTATGAGTCAGAATGGACTCGATGGGATGGAGTGAGTGGGGCTGAGAGACCCTCTGCTCACAGATTAAGTTTCAGCCCTAAAGAACACCTCGGCCTGGCAGATGGAAACGAGGAGAAAGCTGCGTGGAAGCTGGGAACTTGAGGGATGTGCTTTCTGGGCCTGGCTTCGGGAAACTGAGACGTCTCTGTGACTGTGTGGAGGCCCTCGCACGAAGAGAAAGATGCTGCTCCGTCTGTAGCTGCCGCCCTC